ATATCAATATAATTAATTTTTACATATTTCTTTACCATGTATTTGAATAAGACAATATTTTACTTACCATGTACGAAGTATATGTGAATGTGAATAAAATTTTAGCAACAATAATATCATAAATCAATGGACAAAAATAACCCTGAATATAATTTATAGGAACACTTTGCGGTGACTAAAAAACCAAATTTTTGTCCACGACGAGCACGATAGAGCTTTGACATCTTTCTCTATTGCAGTTCAATTTAAAGAGCTTAAGTGTTGGGCATAAGAAGGCACACACAGAGAAAACATGTGTGAGCAGTCATACTACCATTTTGTCTTTACCTGATTTAATTTATTCAAATAACAATTAACCAGACATGTTATATACGTACCAAATTCCAAAACTAATTCCAAGGAATCACATAAATAAGTGCTAATTTGAAGAAATTAATGGCATCAATTGATCAAAACACAACTTAAGCATGTGATTTTGTATTTACACGTGTTCTTATATTTTTCTTTAATCCATTCATACAAATTCATATTCTCCTTAAGGTTGCTCGATCCATCTTATCATCAAATACCGACTTTAAATTCGATATTTTCAGCATCGTTTAAAACAGAAAATTAGAAGTTTACGTGAATTTCATATATTCTTACTTGATCGGATATGATTGCTGGCGAGAAATATTAGTCGTATGCCCTCTTAGGGAGTGTTTGCAACTGCTTCTGCTTAAAAAAAAGCACTTTTGGAGATGTAAGGAAAAAGTGATTAGTAGTAAAAGTTGATAGTGTTTGAGAAAAAAGTGATTTTGAAAAGTAAAAGTTGGTATTGTTTGGTAAAATAAGTGCTTTTTGTGTAATAGAAAAGGGAAAAGCACTTTTCACACGCAAGCCGAGAAAAAGTAAAAATTGGTAGTGTTTGGTATATAAGTGTTTTTAAAGCCAAAAGCTGAGAAGTGTTTTTTTAAGCAGTTGCAAACACTCCCTTAATATGCCCTTCGAGTGTATGATCATGTAATTGAAGACGCTTTAGTTTAAATGAGGAGACGAAGAGGAAATTAGAGATAGAAGATGGATGTCTAGAATTGCTACCACTCAAATTTAGTTTCATTTTTGTCAGAGGGCATGAAATCTAATAAATCAAAGGCTAGGCTATATACAGAGATAAAGTCAACATTGTACAATCCATGTTCTGCTTTACAATACAGAGTAATAATGGAGATGATATTGGTCTAAAATACATAGTACTTCGTACATAATAAGAAGTCATAGTATCCCACAAAATCGTGACTCAATGTTCATGAAGAGATTGAGTCACATCCGGGACCAAATTTTGGGATGTTTTAACAATTTGAATGATACCATTATGGGCTTAAATAGTAGATCCTTAAATGGTAAACTCCGTTCCGGAAAGATTTATGAGTTGTTGAGAATTAAAGGGACGCCGAGAGTGTGGATGAGCTTCATTTGGAAGTCTTATATCCCTCCGAAGTTCTCATTCAACGTTTGGCTTGCTATGAGGAACCGGTTACCTACACAGGATAACCTTAGTTACCTACATATTGTTAATCGTTGTGACCTGTGCAAGGGTGGATTGGAAACAATACCACACCTATTTTTTCGTTGTCATTACACCTGTAGGGTCTGGAAAAAAATTAGGGAATGGTTGGGCATGACTCGTGAGATGACCACGCTATGCAGCTCCGTGAAATGGATCTTGAAGGATCACAAGGGATCAAAGATCAAAGGGAAGGCTGTTCGGATTGCGTTTGGTGCCGCGGTTTACTACCTCTGGTACGCTAGAAATGCCAACCGATTTGATGAAGGGGACGTGAAGGAAGAGGAAGTCATTGCAAAAGTCAAGCATGTGGTGTATAAAATACTTTTCAATTTATACCCACATGACTTGATCACTTTCTGAGTAGAAGGCCGGGGCTTGGATATTATGGAGGCCGTGGTTTTTGATTAGACCGCTACATGTTTGCTTGGTGAGCCGATGCATGGACATTATGGATGTCGTGGCTTGGGAACTTGATACAATGCGGCATGGACATTATGGATGCCGCGGCATGAAGCATAGTCTTTGATATTATGGTGTTTGATTTAGCGGCACCCTTGTAATTTCTTTAGAATTTAGCCTCTGATCTGTGTGCGTGCATGTGCAGCACTGATGTATTTTTGAACTTCTTGATGGCCCGGGTTTTATACCTGGTTATTTTGGCATAGAATAGATCGAATAAAAACCTCCTTCCACCCCTACACTATGTGGGGGTGGGGAATGTTTTAGGAGATCTAGGACATTTGATGTATAATTTTTCTGGGTGTTAATATATATTTACATTTCATCCAAAAAAATAAAATAAGAAGTCATAGTACTTCTTTCTATGTTGTACAAAATTAAAATAAGTGTTATACGTAGTATTTTTGGGAAAAAATTTGCGGTCTACAAAATTTAAATATATTATACTCAAATATCAATTATAATTTTTACTTTTTCAACTACTTTATTATTAATTATGTCAAACCAAAGTAAGACACACAAAACGGGATGTACATAATACTATTTTTTATAATTGAGTTAGATCATGTTTGGCGACCCTGATTTCAGTTTATCAAACTTAGCAACTATGTTTTTAATCAAATACATAACTTTTAATTCCACACGCTCAATCGTGTAATAATAAAAAAAATTAGATTGGAAGAATTAATTTTCTGGATGAATTGGTTGAAGTTACTGTACATGATCATTTCAACTATTCTTCGTATAATTCTTTTGTTTCATTACAAAAATACACATCAGGACCGGTCCGGACATATAGAAGGCTCTGTGCAAAATTGAATATGAGGCCCTAAAGTATAAACCATTATACTAACACTTTCACTGTTAGAGATGACAATTGTGACCAATCAGATGGATACCCGCATCGAACCGCCCCGGTCAAAATGGGGAAAACCGCATTGACCGGGTAATAGGTACAGGGCGCGGAATACCCGTTTTGTTTTTATGGGTTACGGGGCGGTTACAGTTTTATGCATGCCCGCCCCATTACCCGCCCCGTTTATTTTTAGTTATATTTTTATTACATTCTTATCTATTGTTTGTCCCACAACTAATAAAAGATGAGATTTTTAATGTTCATTGTGTATATATGGATAATAGATGTACTAACTATAGTGTAAGAATGGAAGTTCTCAATAGAACTTAATAGCCTTGTTTGATTATTACTTCGTGTATGATTTTTCGTGATTAATTATTTTTCAGATTAAGTATTTTTAGGTTCAAATTAATTTAGGTTGTCTTCTTTCTCGTCTTATAGATATATGAAGTTTTAAATTGGCGTCTGAGTCTAGCATCGTCTAGGTGTTGCCATTTTTCGCCTTAATATTATTTTTTATTAAAATATCAATGACGCATTTAATAAAGTGATTACCCTTGGTTACCCGCGGTTATAACCGTTACCCGTTGGGGCGGTTATGGTTTGAGTAAAAATTACCCGTTGGGTAATCGGGCGATTATGGGGTGGGGGAATTACCAAACGGGGCGAGTACGGTTATATGTAAAACCGTCCCCTATCCGCCCCGTTGCCATCCCTATTCACTGTTTCTAAATAATAGTGTCCTTAGATTTTTTGTGGGTTTTAAGAAGAAAATAGTAGTTATGGTATAGAAGTGTAAGGTAAATGAAAAAGTAGAAAAGAGAATAAATTAAGAAAAGTAAAGTAATGACAAAGTATGAAAAAGAAAGTAGTTACAAGCTCGTTCCAAACTGTACGAGGGTTTTGTGCTATTTATTGTAACTAGGCCTTGTGAAATAAAGAAATTACACAATTGTAATTAACAATTGCATTTTAATTACATATAAATATACTATTTAATGTTTGTATTTAAAAAATTACTAAGATATATAGGAATTTTTAATCAAATAAATAAAGATTTATTATATTATATACTCCCTCCGTCCCCTTTTAAATGTCCCGGAAGAGAGTGACACGAGTTTTAAGAAAAGTAGGTTTGTGTGGTTGATATTAATTGATAAAGTAAGAATAAAGTAAAAATGTTTTTGAGCCACAAAAACTTTACCAAATAAGGTATGAGACAATTAAATAGGGACATCCCAATATGGTAAAACGGGACATTTAAAAGGGGACGCAGGGAGTAGACTATATTTAAATTTTTGGGCCTTCTGAAATTGAGAGACCCTATGCGGTTGCACTTCTTGCACGCCCTCATCTACGGCCCTGATACACGTTATGTACCAACATAATAAAACATAATTTCAAACAAGTTGTTATTCTATTCTAGATACACCACGTGCTTTGCACGGGTATTTCGTTAGTGTATAGTTTACAACAACAACAAAATAGAGTATACTCCTTAGTTTACTACGTACAGAGTAGTATTTTGGTTACAAGATTTAAAAGTTTCTTTTTATAGAATAAACCGCGTCAGGGGCGTAGCCAGGACACTGGGCTAGACTGGGCCGATACAAAGAATATTATTGGGAAAAAAATTACACGAAATTTTTTACACTAAAAATATTGACATTTTTCAAATTTGGGGTGGGCCAGGGCCTAGCCTGGGCACCCCCTAGCTCCTCCCCTGAACCGCGCGTAATTACTGGAAGATTGACCGACTAAGGGACTGTTTGCAATTGCTTCAACTTTAAAGAAGTGATTTTTTAAAGTGATTTTGGGAAAAGTGATTAATAGTAAAAGTTGGTAGTGTTTGAAGAAAAAGTGATTCTGAAAAAGTAAAAGTTGGTAGTGTTTGGTAAAAGAAGTACTTTTTGTGTAATAGAAAAAGTGAAAAGCAGTTTAAAGCACCCCTCCACCTGCTTCCAGCTTTTAGCTTTTAAGTGATTAATTTAAGTAGAAGCTGTCATTTGAAAACACTCTTTTTAACTTTTTTTAATCCAAAAGCTGAAAAACACTTTTTTTAATCAAATGCAAACACTCCCTGAAACTTTCACTGAGCTTCCGGCTTACCCGTTACATAACTGAAAGTGAAAACCTGAAATTCTCGGGAGATAAAGGATAAAGATTTTCATAACGAAACTTCTATAGAGTAAAAGGCTGGAACTGGAATATGATTGAGTTGCAGAGAGGATTTCACCTGTTACTGCTGCAATACAAGGCGTTGTTCGTGAAGAACATACTGCTGTCGTGGCGGAACAAGCGCGCAACATTCATTCAGCTCTTCTCGTCCTTCTTCTTCATGTTCCTCATCTTCTGCATCCAGAAGGCCGTCCAGTCGCGCTTCTCATCTTCTACCTCTTTCCAGAACGTCTTCGATCCCGAGCCGCTCGTAACGCCGCCTATTCCACCGTGTGAGGACAAAAACTTAGTCAAGTTCCCCTGCTTTGACTTTGTATGGAGCGGCAATGGGAGCAGGAGAATTGGCCAAATTGTCAGAAGAATCATGGACAACAATCCAGGCCGCCCCATTCCTTCCAACAAGGTAATCCTATTGCCCTTCATGATTATCTTGTTAGATATCCAAATCCAAATACTTCAGTAAGAAAGATAGATTCATTTATTAGATCGAGCTAACTAATTGATTTAATTGAAGCTTTATGATTCAGCCGAGTGATCCTAACCCCATATTCACATCTATAATTTTCAACCTTGGTTAAGAAATTGCAGTATATAGTTTTGGGGGCAGTAACCACAACAAACTATGAAAGTCCGAATCGTCTGTGTTTGTTGTCATTTGGCACATCCATTTGCTCAGGGAAAAAGTTGTTAAGTGTGGATTGGGCAGTATGGTTCAAGACTTCAGAGTGGTAAAGAGTAATTCTGTAAGGTCAAGATCAACACTTGAAGCTTGAAAGTCGATGCCTAAAACCATCTCATCAAATTAAATCGATTTTCACTGAGTGAATTGGCTGGGAGAGGATAATATTGGATGAATAATTTAATCGAATCTGCTTCTTTGACATATTAGTATTCTACTTATACTATCTTTTAATGTTCTTTGTGATAAATGAAATTTAGCCACTTCTTTCTTTCATCTATAGCCCTTAAATTTTTAACTTTATGGCTAAGTCCAAACAAACTGCCACAAAATAAGGTTTGTTTGTTGAAGCACTTTAGACTTTTTCCGTTAAATATTTCCGTGGATCCCTAGACTAGTTTATTCAAAAGAGTAAGAGATGAGTAGATGATCCTGGAATGGCTTGTCATGCTTCTTTTTCAGTACTTCTGGAGTTCTGGCTAGAGACAATCAAGATGAGGCCATGCTACACAAACAATAATATCACAATAAACGTTAATAACTGTTAACCGTACCTATACCTTAATAAGTTGAAAGAGAGCTGCAGCAGTCTTGCTTTCTCGATGCATTTGTACTTTTGTAGCCGCTATAAGGCCTATACTGTGCATGAGTGTTTTGCTTACAGAACTGTAGATCATGTAATGGTTTATTATATAAAACTTTAGGCCATCTAGTTTCACCTAGATGCAATTACTATCATAACTTCTGTTGCAGGTTCAATCATTTAGAACTCGGGATGAAGTGGATGTATGGCTTTCCAATAATGCTATGCATTGCCCTGGAGCTCTTCATTTAAGTGAAAGAAGTTCCAGTGTAATTAGTTATGGTCTACAGACAAATTCCACTCCAGTGGCCAAACGAGGAATTTTTGAAGATCCTACATTTAAGTTCCAAATCCCACTTCAACTTGCAGCAGAGCGTGAAATTGCACGTTCTCTTATTGGAGGTACAGAAGTGGTCAATAGATTTCATCCGATCTGATTGAGTTGTATTATAGTAGTAACTGATAATGATAATGATGTTTACTCTGATAACCTAATGGCACTTCTATGGCTATTATGTGTTAGATCCAAACTTCAGCTGGCTTATCACTTTCAGGGAATTTGCACATCCTGCGGTTGAAACTTTCTCTGCTGTTGGTGCAGCTGGACCAACATTTTTCCTGGCAATTGCCATGTTTTCTTTTGTCTTCCAAATCAGTGCTTTAGTCACAGAGAAGGAATTAAAACTCCGACAGGTCTTACCTACTCAGCTACTCTGTGTTTTCTTCTTATGAAAACTTACTCATGTGTTTTCCAGAATTATGCTCATATTTTTCTTGTCATATTTGATTTGCAGGCTATGGCCATGATGGGTCTTTATGACACCTCATATTGGTTATCATGGCTCACATGGGAGGGAATTATGACTCTTCTATCAACACTTCTAACACTGTTATTCGGGATGATGTTTCAGTTTGATTTTTTCTTGAACAACAGTTTTCCAGTTCTATTCACGCTGTTTTTTCTTTTCCAGTCCAATATGGTGCGCTTCACTTGGCAGTTCAGAAACTTCACATCATTAGATTTGCTTTATTCTCTGTAGTATTAGGACTACAAAGAGAACTAATACTGTATTTTAAATATTAATGCTAATATATGGTACATGTTGGTTGCCAGATCGGTCTAGCATTCTTGTTGTCTGCTTTCATTACTAAATCATCTTCATCAACAACTGTGGGGTTTTCAACTTTCATTGTTGGTTCTTTGACTCAGGCAATAATCTCTCCTTTGTTGGCAATTAATTAGCAATTAATTGATTCATGATACCTCATTCCTCTTTTTTTTTTCTTTTCCATTTTCCCCACTTTCAGGTTGTGACAGCATTTGGATTTCCATACAGTAACACATTCCCTGATATTTACAGGATCATTTGGTCTATTTTCCCACCAAATCTTCTCGCTCAAGGTCTTAAGCTGGTTGCTGATGCAACTGCAACTCCTGAAGATCCTGGTGTTAGCTGGAAAGGAAGAGCGAAGTGTGCTCCAAATGATAATGAATGTCTAATAACCATGGTAGGCAGACATTTTTGCCACTAACAATGCACTTAATTTTTACTGGGAGCTTGAACTGTTCCCAGGAGTTTGAGAGAGAAGCTCCACCTCGTCTCCAGCTTCTCCCTCAAACCCTTATGGTTATAGCAACAGCTCCTTAGCCAGGTCTTTCCCTGATCTTCTCCCGCCTCTGTTGCAGTCCGCTCCTCTTCTCCAAGACTCCTGGATCTCTTCTTCCAACCCTTGTCTGATTTGGAGTTGCTTTTTTGCTCTTTCCTAGTTTCTTTATTTTGTTCATGTTTGTCTTGCTTCCCATTGAGCTGCAGTGCTGTTAAAATAAGCACTACTGTGGTCAATCACACCTTGAGTGCCAAATCTCCCCTATGCACTTGCCATAACCACCACTGTGAGCTCTGATTCATTCCTGCAGTGGACCTGATGCCAACATTTGCACCACTGGAGAAACCACGTAGTCATTGCAGAAACTTCCTTGCATCCTTTTTTCCACAGCCCCACATGCAGATCTGGAGTTATAGTGTCCACCAAAACCTACATGAAGATTTTACGCTTTGGTTTGGCAGGAGTTGTCTGCTTTGTGTCTTCTACTAAATTACCCATGCTTGATGAAAAGACCCATGAGTGCTTTGTGTCTTCTACTAAATTACCCATGATTGATGAAAAGATCCACGAGTGCTTCTCATTTTGGAGCAGGAATTTGTAAACAGAGCTTATGGTGTTCACCGCCAACCTCAACATCCTCCCTCCATAGAATAGCTCTCAAACTGGATAGATTGTAAGGCTGTGGGTCCTCTTTTTCTTTTCCATTAACCATGCAATGAAGGAGTTGGTTTGCTTGTTTTGTGTTAGAGGTCGAATTGGTTAGTGTCCTATTTGTTTTGAGATCTTAATGTGTATGATTGTCCAAGATATGGTTGGTCAAATATGGATAGTGAATGCTCCATGTTGCAACTGTTCAGTGTGTGTGTGTGTGTGTGTGTGTGTGTGTGTTGAAACTGGATAGATTGTAAGGCTGTGGGTCCTCTTTTTCTTTTCCATTAACCATGCAATGAAGGAGTTGGTTTGCTTGTTTTGTGTTAGAGGTCGAATTGGTTAGTGTCCTATTTGTTTTGAGATCTTAATGTGTATGATTGTCCAAGATATGGTTGGTCAAATATGGATAGTGAATGCTCCATGTTGCAACTGTTCAGTGTGTGTGTGTGTGTGTGTGTGTGTGTGTGTGTGTGTGTGTCTTTCTCTCTCTTTTATTATGAATAAGATTGTTTACCTTTGAAGTACAGTTCATATGTTTTGCCCAGAGGAAAGGGGTGGGGATAGCTTGAGCCTTGAGGCAAAAAAAGCTGGATGCATGCCCATTTCTTATTTTCATTTAGCATGATTTTAAGAAGGTTACATATTCGATCTATACCCCCACATTATTTTCATTTTTTTCAACAGAATGACATCTATATATGGCTTGTCTCAACATTCTTTCTGTGGTTGGTGCTGGCTATATACATGGACAATATAATTCCAAATTCATCTGGTGTTAGAAAGTCAATGCTCTACTTCTTGAATCCTGGATACTGGACAGGAAAAGGTGGAGACAATGTCTCAGGTAACTGACTATTGAACTTATGCTTCAAATTTATTTATCCGTGTCCTTGGAAATCTCAGCCAGACAAGTGCTTTGAAACCATATGCCTTTATTCAGAGGGGGGTGTCTGTAGCTGTACTGGTGCAATTCCTGCTTCAGAAAGTAGTGTTCCAGATGATGAGGATGTACTTGAAGAAGAAAACTTAGTTAAACAGCAAGCAAGACAAGGCCAAGTTGATTCTCCTGTTGCAGTTCTAATATGTGGTCTTGTGAAGATATATCCAGGTTCAAAGAAGATTAGCTGCTGTAATTGCAAAATGAACCCGCCTTATCATGCTCTTAAGGTATCATGAGGGGTTTACAACGTATCTAATTAGTCCATTAAGAGCATCCGTTATTAAATAGTTCTCTTTCTACTTGTTTTGCAAAGGTTATGGATTACAAAATGTCCAACACTTCTTAACATAATTAAGGCAATAATGGAGTAGACTATTGATTGTTTTTTTAACCAAGCAATTACTATCTAAATGGTGCAAAACAAACTTGTCACCATGCGCTATGCGAGTTCATATTGAACTTTTGAAGTTCTTTTCCAATATCGAATTTTATCTTGCATTGTTTACTGCATGTCTAATAATATATATGCAAATTACATACTGACCAACTTGAAATGGAATACGCTTTACTCCCGGTGGTGAGGTGGTCATATTTATCTGTGCGTTTATCTCAATAAATACTCCACAAACTTCCTAAATGGATAGATAAAAGGATTATCAAACCCCTAAAAAAGTGGATAGTTAAGTAATGAACAATTAAACTGGATCGGATGGTGTAATAGGCAACTTTTGATGCATTCGCTACTGTTTATACATTTCTTGCATGTCATTTCATATTTTGTGCATGCATTCTGGGAAATCCTAGGATCATGGTTAGAGCTCATGTACACAGGTGGTAAAATAATCCTTTAGCAAAACACCCACATGCACTATGCGAGTTCATATTGAACTTACGAAGTGCTTTTCCAATATAGAATTTTAACTTGCATTGTTTACTGTACGAATAATAATTTATATGCAAATAACATACTGACCAATTTGAAATGGAATACGCTTTACTCACGGTGGTCATATTTATCTGTGCGGAGTGCGCTTATCTCAATAGCACCTAAAAAAGTGGCAGAATTATTATTTTTAAATCAATTACAATCTATCCAATCTTACCAAATGTACTCTTATTTGTGAACTCACTACATGTTAACAATGTGTCATAAATTGTCTTTTCATGTTTTCAGATGTGCTTATTATTTAGTGTTGGCGGGTAAAACATGAAAAATAGAATAAATATTCCACAAACTCCCTAAAAGGACAGATAAAAGGATTATCAAACCCCTAAAAATGCGGATAGTTAAATAATGAACAATTAAACAGGACCAGATGGTGTAATAGGCAACATTTGATGCATTCACTACTCTTTATATATATATCTTGCATGTCAATTCACATTTTGTGGATGCATTCTGGGAAATCCGAGGATCATGGTTAGAGCTCATGTGCACAGGTGGTAAAATGTACTTTAGTAAAACACCCGCATGCATAAAGCTCACGTTTTCATTCATTGTAGATTTTGGCAAATAAGAAACTATGAGATTTCATATTTATGTTCTCTTTCAGTTATGTACCTTGGTGTTTGAGTGGGTTTCATATTGGTTATATACTTGTATGCCAGGGCCTATGGGTAAACTTTGCCAAAGATCAGCTATTTTGTCTTCTAGGGCCCAATGGGGCTGGAAAAACTACTGCTATAAATTGTTTGACTGGCATAACACCAGTTACTGATGGAGATGGTAGTTGCTCTTCTTATGTCCATGTTTAGTATGTATGGATTGTTACTGAAAAATATGACCATGAACTTGTGTATCACAGCATTAATATATGGATGCTCAATCCGCAGCTCAACTGGCATGTCAAGTATTCGACAGATGACAGGTGTTTGTCCACAGGTAAGTCTTTTTTATTAGTGTTTCCTTGCGTTTTCAGTAATTAATTGACTCCTTAAAATGCGTTGACTGTCTTCCAATTTTCATAGTTTGATATTCTTTGGGATGAATTGTCGGGTCAAGAACATCTCCAGCTCTTTGCCTCCATCAAAGGTTTACCCCCTTCCTCTATAAAATCGGTGCGTAAGCGTTGTGAAAAACCTATACCTTAGGCTTATCATGTGCAACACCTTAATCCTCAAACGACCCAAGTCACCCAACTAGTTGGGGTTGGTGGGAAAAAGTAGTGGCTTACACTTCATTTACACCTTTCTCACAGAGGAATGATGGGATTCAGAACCATTATCATCATAGATTATTGCTACTTGGATGAAAAGTATCATGTGATGGCGATGGTTCAAGATAATTTTTATATTTATGGAACTTGAGTGGGAACCCCCTAGACTGGAACCTCTAAATTTGGAAGTATTTTATGATTTTTTGTTGTTGTAAATCACAGGTTGTACAGACTGCATTAACTGAGGTTAAACTGACTGAAGCTGCCAGCATGAGAGCTAGCAGTTACAGTGGAGGAATGAGGCGACGGCTCAGTCTTGCGATAGCTCTTATTGGCGAACCAAAATTGGTTATTTTAGATGAACCAGTGGGTATAAATGCATCTATTGTTAGTTGCTGAGACATATTCTGATGTGTGGGTGGGTGTGGACGTATTCACATTAGTACATTAGTCATTCATGACAGCTTCAATCTGGAAGGACTCACAATCCACCGTTGGATGCTTTTGGATTGATTTTAATGTTTTGTGTAAGATTTTACTAATTATTGAATGGCTGGTTTTAAGTCTTTACAGACAAGATCTGAAAACTTATAAGAATATTCCCCACATACAAATTTGCGCACCCACACATATGAGTGTGGTTTCAACTGTTAGATTTAAGATCAAATGGTTAGGTACTTAGGTATATCTATACTAATTGTGTTCCTTACAATTGCAAAGACAACCGGCATGGATCCAATTACAAGACGACACGTCTGGGACATAATAGAGGATGCAAAAAAAGGGCGTGCCATCATCTTAACCACCCATTCTATGGAAGAAGCTGACATTTTAAGTGATCGCATAGGCATCATGGCAAAGGGGAGGCTTCGTTGCATTGGGACTTCAATAAGGTTGAAATCAAAGTTTGGAACTGGTTTTGTTGCTACAATCAGTTTTTCTGGAGGGACAGCTCCTGAAGAATCTGATACTTTTTCTACAGATAAACATCAAGCAGTGAAACAGTTTTTCAAAACGGTATGTAAAACAAAAACGGTATCTGGTTTATTCTGATTAAGTCTTAAAATATTTTGGATTGACTTTTAATATTTGTTTTTGCAGCATTTGGATGTGGTGCCTAAAGAGGAAAGCAAGTCTCTCCTGACCTTTGTTATTCCGCATGACAGGGAGAGCCTTTTGACTGTACAGCTTTAACTGTTTGATGTTGCATTTTTCCTGCTATTATCTCGTTGCATTTTTGTTTGATTTTATACTAGAAAATGTTGACAATCCCTTTTCCTTCCCCTATACCTTCTTTTCAGGACTTCTTTACTGAACTCAAAGATCAAGGATCAGATTTTGGAATATCAGATGTCCAACTAGGGCTCACAACCCTCGAAGAGGTTTTCTTAAACATTGCTAAACAGGCCGAAATGGAAAGTGCTGCAGCAGAGGGAAGTTTTGCTACTCTTACATTGAACTCGGGGTTGTCTCTTCAGGTAAAACTTTGACTGTAAACTTCTGCCTAAGGGCTTGTTCCAGGTAGAACAATATATTTGTTCCAAAAATCCCTCTTAGACCTATCTAATCCCCATGTAGTCTGTAGGCGCTATTTAAAACAATGGAATATAACAGGCATCAGTGTCCCGTGCTACAATGTGGTCAAAAGTCCATTAATGTTTCCCTATCAACCTTTCAGATACCAGTGGGAGCAAGATATATTGGGATTCCTGGGACAGAATCTGCCGATAATCCCAGAGGCATTATGGTAGAAGTGAACTGGGAACAAGATGATTCTGGTAGGCTATGCATCTCTGGCCACTCAGAGGAGAGGCCAATACCTCCTCATGTTGAACTGACAGCTTCTCCAACAACCACTTCTAGTAGGGCCTTGAGACGAGGGAGACAAATTCGGGGTATAGTACTTGATCCTGCACAAATTAACTGCACAAATGTGTGTTGATTGGTTGACTTTATCATGCTAATAATGTAATGGATACTAGGGCAACGGTTTGAATAAAAAAGATTGTAAGAGCCTTATTGCGTCCTCTCCCAGGCCTTATTTCAGCAATGTGATAGTGCAATAGTTACCCACAATGCCCGCCTCTTGAGTATACATTTTGAATGAATTGATTTATTAATATAATAAAAATAATACTTATTTTGAAATATTTTCAAATTGGGAAAATGTAAATGATATTTTTGAACTCATAAATTATCGGTGTTGTTATTATAATGAGCATAATTTGAAAATGAATATCTTTAAAATTAGTACAAAAATATGTATTTTGTTTAATAAAAAAATAAGGAATAAGAAATACTAACAACACATACATACTGAAAAATATTAACTTTAAATATTTCATGAGATATTTTTTTTAAAAAAATCAACAAAGAAAAAAGATTAAATAAAATAGATATACTAAATTAAACAATATTAATAAAGAATTGGTAATTACCATTTTAATTGAAATTTTTCTCATTCCTAGCAAGTAGCTTGTTTTGGCTAATTTGCTTGCCCAAGCTAGAAGGAAAGATGCACTCCAATGATAGGCTAGCCCTCAAACAAATCTGATCCTATAATGGGCAAATCTGAGTCGACGGTGATCGAAACAGACTCCTCATCTCCCATCCTAGTTCTCAAGGAAAAGGGAAAAAAATAGCAACAAATCGGAGTCTAAAATAAAATAGACAACAAGATAATGAGAAACTAAAATAAAAATGTCCTTCACGGGACGTTTGGCAGCCATAACTACTTTGTGCTAGAGAAAAGTGCCTCATATATCAAGGCGGGCCTGGTACTCCGGGTCCACCTCTTTCCCGTTTTATGGATAATCAAGTGTCATATCTTCACCTACATGCATGATCCTCTTCCGCTTGTTCCTCCCAAGTCCTGCCCCCACTAACATCAAGCCCCACTATTCTGCCCCTGAATTTCCTGCTTTGAGCACCTTGTATCCCCCATCCCTCATGCTTGTCCTATCTTTAACAAGTAACTTCTTACCTCTTTCGGCGAGATTTCCCCACTCACTACAAAAAATCCGCGTTGTAGTCACGGACTTAGTCACGGATCGTAGTGTAAAAAATCCGTGACTAACTCCTTTAGTCACGGACTTTGTCACGGCCAAAATCCGAGATTTCTCAGGCGTGACTAACTTTAGTCACGGGCAATGGTCCGTGACTACATTTAGTCACGGACTAGTCACGGCCCATTTTCGTGACTACAGTGTCACCGGAGTACTTTTCCGACCAGGCAAATTAAATTTAGTCACGGATGTTGTCCATGACTACAAATTCAAAATTCAAAATTTTCAAAATAGTCACGGTCATAATCCGTGACTAATATTTCAAAATTCAAAATTCCAAATTCAAATTTTTAAATTTTCAGACTTCGAATTCAAATTTTTCAAATTAGTCACGGTCAGAATCCGTGACTAGTTATTTTAATTTGAAAAAAAAATAATTTGTTTCGAGAAAGAATTCCAGACTAGTTTAGTCACGGAATTAGTCCGTGACTATTTTTTTTTTAATTTAAAAAAAAAATTAATTAAAATTTTTATAACTATTAATTTAACTATTTTAAAATAGTATTAAAACAATATTTGAAAAGAATTTTTACAATTTATTTTTAAAAAATTGTAATATGTTTTTTAATTATTTTGAAAAGCGGAATTAAATATTACATAAATTCACTCATACACATTAATAGAAAATTGAAAAATTCATGCATAAACAATTTAATAGAAAAGAAATTCATTCATACACATTTAAATCAAAAAATATATTATTACACTCATTCATAATAATGAAAATCACTGGGCTCTTGGGGCTGCTCGGGCTCTTCGGGCTCTTCGGGCCGGGTGCCTCCACGGCTGGCTCCTCCGCGGCTGGATCCTCCGCGGCTGGCTACGGGTGTCTGAAACATGTTGTTCCAAGACTGATCATGAAAGGATCTGTAGGAGGGCATGTTAAACCCGGAGTTGGAATGGAAGTTGCCCATTTGCGGAATTTGAGGAGTCATTTCAGGATGTCTCACATACGGCGGAGGCTGATAGGCGGCGTTGAACATATTCATTTGCCGTTCCATCATCTCAAGCCGGACTCTTGTTTCTTCATCCTTCTGGCGTTGCTCCTCTAATTGTCGCTGCAATTCGGCAATCCGAGGATCCTCACCACGCCGCGAACGAGAAGACGAAGCGCCGTCGCGGTTGAGCAAAATCCGTTGGCCTTCGGCACCCAAGCACGGAACCCGACCCTTGTAAACCCCAGCTGCCTCCAGGATCGCCTCATCATCCTCATCAGAAGCGAGGTCATCCTCTTCCATCAAGCCAAGCTCGGCACGCTTATTCTCAACGGTTGAGTGATACTTCGTCTTCATGTACAAGATTAATTCAAGTTAGGAACTCTTTATTTAGAAGATTAAAGAGCACAAGTGTATTTCTTACTTCGATTTCAGCGATGCGAGGTGGAAGGTCGGCTTCCGAATCGTCCCCGCCCTTCGTCCAACAGTGCTTTAACACCTTCAGATACGAGACCCTCTTTTTCTCAGGTCCCGCCTACATGGTTCGAAACGATTTAAAATCCAAAACTAATTGTAAACATGATGGATTGTTTATATTTATTTTTTGAATTAGAACTTACAAGAGTTTTTTTATGGTGAGGAAGAGGTTTGCGGCCCCCATGCCATTGGGTCTCCAAAGCCTTTTCAGACATCCGATTTTTCTTACCGGCTGCGCTTCGTTGCGCAAACTTCGGATCCGTGGACCAATGGTTAACAAGGTTGGCCCACACATCATCGGCAATCCATGCGGGCTTCTTCATGTCTTTTCGGTAGCGTTTAAAAGAACTTACCATCCAAGACGAAACTCTTGCATTATACGCTTTAAGGATGGCGGGACCATCCGCTTCAAGCCATCGGTGTTGGGCCTTTATTTAAAAAAAATAAAATTAGTTTATTATTTATCAAATTTTAAGTTACTACATTTAAATCGAGAAAATTCATCTATTTTTACCTTAAACAAGTTCCACCAAAGTTCGCGGACCTCGGCGTCTACTTCCGTGTAGGAAATCCAAGTACCCCTAAAATGTCCTTTGATGATGGCCTTGATCCGATTTAGGACATCTTGATCACTTTAAAAAATTGTTATTTTTTAATAGATTTTGATTAAATTATTTGACATTATACAAAATTATTTGACATTAGAAAAAGTTCATGATTACTTACAAAGCAATCTGCTCAGGTGTCACCCAATGAGCGGTCTCATTATTGCGCTCCGCTGCTGTCTGTTCGGGCGAGCACGAGATGTCGATTGTTCATTACTCATCTAAAATTTATTAATTCATATCTTTAAATGTTAGTGTGATTATTATAATAGAACAATGTTTTAAAAAGTTTTATTAATTAAAAATTGTTATGACATATTAAACTATGTTCAAGTTTAATATGGGGGTGGTAGTTTTTTGAATTTGACTAATGCAACATTGAAATAATACATTTTGGGAGGTAACATGTTAAACTTTTTGGCAAGTTTACATGAGGGGACATATTTTATTTTTATATTATAGGTATTTTGTAGGTATTTTATTTTGGTAAACTTTTTATACATTTTTATATTTTTTATAACTTCTTTCACTTCATTATATGTAAAAACGGTTTTTATAAACAGTTTATAAAAATGGTCTTTTCGGTATGCATGTTTTTGTTTTATAACAGTTTTTATAAAACTGTTTTTATAAAACAGTTTTTTAAATGAATTTTCAAAAACAGTTTCACAAAAAAACAGTTCTTAAAAACCAGTTTTTAAAAAAGAGTTTTTTATAAACATTTTTAAAAAATCAGTTTTATAAAAACAGCCATTTTGTAAATAACATTTTTAATAAACAGATTTTCATAAAAAAAAGTTTATAAACAGTTTTATAAATCAGTTTTATAAAACTGTTTTATAAAAAACTGTTTTATAAAGATCAGTTTTATAAAAATAGCCATATTTAGACAGTTTATTTTTCTATAAAAAAGTTTTATAAAACATTATCCGAAATCACTTTTTTTAAAAACAGTTTTTTATAAAACAGTTTTAAAAAATCAGTTTTATAAAAACAGCCATTTTGTAAATATCATTTTTAATAAACAGTTTTTCACAAAAAAGATTATAAACAGTTTTATAAAACAGTTTATAAAAATAGTTTTCTAAAAATCAGTTTTATAAAACTGTTTTATAAAAAACTGTTTTATAAAAATAGCCATATTTAGACAGTTATTTTTCTATAAAACAGTTTTATAAAACATTTTCCGAAATCACTTTTTAAAAACAGTTTTACCATTTTATTTTAATTAATTTTCGGCAAACAGATTAATTAAACATGTTAAACTTTTAGTTTAACATGAGGCGAGCAAATTTTTTAGACATATATATAAACAAAAAACGAATAGTAGCAAACTATAATATAATCATGCATATTAAACCAAAAACAAATAATATAATCATTCATATAAAAACGATTTAACATGCATATTGAAACGATTTAACATACATGTAATATAAAAAATGATTTAACATGCATATTGAAACGAATAATATAATCATAGATAAAAAACGAATAATATAATCATTCATATAAAAAATGATTTAACAAGCATCTTGAAACGATTTAACATACATATACTTTGACAAAAAAATAATATAACATGCATAATGAAACGAATTATTTAATCATACATATAAAAAATGATTTAACATACATATAACATAAAAAAACGATTTAACATGCATACTGAAACGAATAATATAATCATACATATTGAAGATTAAAATATGCATTTAACTACATACATCATGCATTCGGGTATGTTCGGAAAATAACAACAAAACATGCATGTTTTAACATTTTAAAACAATTAAAATTTATTATTAAAATACGAAAAAAATAAAGTAGAGACATAACCTTAACCGGATTGCAGAGGAAGGCGGTGGAAGGCGGCGGACGGCAGAGAACGACGGCGTTGGAGGCGGCGGCGGCCCAGGAGCGAGTAGGAAGAAGAACAGGGAAAGAGAATAGAGAAGCAAGGAGGAATAGGGAAGCGTAAGAGGAAAAAAAAACCTAAGTCCAGCTTATATATTATCTTCTAGTCACGGACTTAGTCACGGACTAGTCCGTGACTAAACCCTTCGTATACCCGTTGTCAGCCACGCGGAAGGCGAGGTGTCAGAGCCGCCGTTGACCGCTTTAGTCACGGACATATCCGAGACTAAGTCCGTGACTATTTTTAAATTTTAAATATAGTCACGGGCTTAGTTGGAGCAGTAGCCATCTGGAAACTTCAGAGACACAAGCCACTGTAATATAGATGCCTTTTGTGCTTCCGTGACTTGGTAGACTGCTTTGGATTTTGTTACCTTCATGTTCTGGATCAACAGAAAGTTCGGGTCTGTCACACCATATTGACATATCTTTTCTAGATGCAAGACCGTCTTTGGTTTTCCCTTTGAAATCCATCACTGTGTTAAATATATTGTCAAAGACGTTCTTCTCAGTGTGCATGACATCTAAATTGTGACGAATGAGAAGGTCTTTCCAGTATGGTAACTCCCAAAATATACTCTTTTTTGTCCACTTATGGGTATCACAATACCCATATGGATCCTCATGGGGCTCTTGCACAGCCGTAGGAATACGTCGAGCCCGGTCAAAAATTTGTGAACCAGTCAATCTCGAGGGTGGGGGGTCTCGTACCACTCTACCTCTAATGAAAGACTTTCTGTCCTTTCGGTATCGGTGGACTGCTGGGAGAAACTTGCGGTGACAGTCAAAGTAACTTGGTTTTCTGCTGTAGTTTAGCCAATTCGCACCTGATTTCTCCATGCATATCGGACATCCCATAAGACCGTGTGTGCTCCATCCCGAAAGCATACCATACGCAGGGAAGTCGCTAATGGTCCAAATGATGGCAGCTTTCACGGTGAACATCTGATCTGTTGAAACATCATAAGTTCGTGTCCCAACGGTCCAAAGTTGTTTCATCTCCTCGATAAGGGGTTGGAGATAAATGTCTATCCTTTTTCCAGGATCATTAGGACCCGGACAAATTAAAGTCAAAAAGATGAAATGACTTTGCATGCACATGTCGGGAGGGAGATTGTAAGGAGTTAACATGACTGGCCAACAGGAATAGTTCTTCCCAAACCTTCCAAAAGGAGCAAATCCGTCTGAACACAATCCCAGGCGCACATTTCGTGCTTCCATTGCAAATTGAGGATGGCAACGGTCAAAGTGTCTCCAAGCTTCACAGTCTGAAGGGTCAGACATCATACCCTCTTTGGTTTCGTGTTGAACATGCCATGTCATGTGTTTTGCAGTAGCATTTGAAGCATACATTCTTTGAAGTCGTGGACCTATTGGGAGGTAATACAGTTTAGATAATGCAGGCATATTTCGTGATTTTCTTTTACTTTGACGAACAAGTTTGTATCTGTCTCCTCCACAGAACTTGCAGATCTCAAGTGTCTCATCATCCTTCCAGAACAGCATACATCCCTTAGGGCACACATCAATTTCCATGTGAGGAAGCCCCAACTTAGATATTAATTGTTTCATGTTGTAATATGAATCAGGGAGGCTGTGGTCACGCGGTAGCATTCCTCCAACTAACTGCAACACTCTTGACATGCAAGTTTCAGGGAGACTGTATTCAGCTTTTATGTTCATGAACTCTGTAACGGCTGACAACTGAGAGTATCCCTCACAATCAGCATACAGAGGTTGATAGCAGCTTTTAAAACATCTTGAAATCTCTCAGCTAAATCCTCATCCACATAAGGCTGATAGCCGGACCCGGAGGCTTCAGCAGGATCATTAAATTGTTGTGGGGGGTTAAACTAAGACGACGGGACACCGTATCCGTCATATACCATTTGTTGATCCCATCTCATTCCAGCATATTCTCCCCACCCACTCATCTGGTCAGGGACGTTACGAGACGAACCCACTGTTTGTGGTAAAAGAGATGGATCATAAGCTTCGCCATGACAAGTCCAATTATAATAATTGGGAACAAAACCGTCCGCGTACAAATCCCACCCAACAGCGTCTTGGTCTTTAAATTGCATATTTTTACACTTTGAACATGGACATCTGATATTATCACCACTCATATAATCCGGGTATTCAAGTGCAAATTTAATAAACTCCGCAATTCCATCAAGAAAATTTGTTTTCATTCCGTACAATTCCGCATTTTTATCATACATCCAACTTCTATTTTGCCTATACAATATGCCTGAATATTATAAAAAATATATATTGGTTAAAAATTAGAAATTATAGACATTAACAACATATGTATAGTAGGAGCATTATTAATATATTCAATTTTACGAAACAATAACTTTCAATTAATAATATTAATTAACTAGAATTAATACGATAATATGATGTCATTAATCATTTAAATCATACACTAATTATATTTACGAAATAAATGTTTATTAAGATACATATATAATAATTCAAATAATTCACAAAATTAAATGAATTAA